GTCTTTCATTGGTATTGGAATGGGGAGAACTAGGCTTCATGATTAGTTTGGTTTTCTGCTATGCCAAAATTGACTATTGTATGGCAGGTATATGCTGGAAAAGCGTAAGGTAAATGTCAATTTTGAGAGGAATGCTTATCTTTTTCTTCCAAGTTAATATTTATGAATTGACCCCATGTTCAATCTGAATTGTAAAAGCAGGAAATTTTAAAATGTATCTAGTTTAGGACTAACCTAAGATTATATACTGAACTTTTGGCAAACTCAAAGACATATTTTCTAATTATAAGTTACCATCACTTTTTAGGCATAAAAGAGCAAAATGGGTGCTGGAGAGATGTCTCAGTGGTTAGGAACACTTGTTTCCATGTCAGAGGACATGAGTTTGATTCCCAGTACAAACATGGGTGTTCACAACTATCCATAGCTCTGGTTCCAGAGGATCCAGTCCCCTCTTCTGAGCTCCACAGTCCACAGCCACATACTTGGTACATATACATTCAAGTAAAATACTCACACATAAAATAAAATTTAAAAGGCTAAAAACTTCTTTAAGAAAAGCAAGATAATTTTATGTTGCATATATAGATGGTCTGAGAAGTATTTCAAACTCTGTTTTTCTTGATTATAAACAAAAAATCATTGTCACAACTGAAAAATAAAATTGGTGTGAGGAGCCTAATACTCAATATATCAGTGTGCTGTCAGAAAGGCCAATGTCAATAATTCAGCCTCTAAACAATCTTTGAATGCCTTCATAATTGCACCACAAACTATGAACCAGATGAGATCATGAGTGTCCACACTTGTTCTTTCCTGATAGTGTATATAATAATAGATTTTAGTTACATTGAACACTATGAATTATGATTTAAAAACAAAACAAAGAAATGGTTCAAAAGATAAAAATATGCCCATCGATAGCAGTTCACTTTAGGGCAAAGTGGCTATGGCAGGTATTTGTTTCTTTTTTTTTTTCTGAATTATTGCAATTTTGCTAAGTCCCTTTGACTCCCTTTTACTGTAATTGGTTTATTATGTGTGCAATGGCCTTTGCATTTGTTTTTCACCTAGATGTCATTCATCTTCTCTGAAGGCTACCTCTAAAATGCATGAAATTTTTTTCTTGACCTTTTGACTTAGGATTAGTTTTATTTAATATGATAAATTGATTGCATTTTGGAAAAGAAAATTAAATTGTTACTTGGTTATTGGTAAAATAGTCTATAGGAATGATGAATTACCCTATTTTGCTGACCTAAATGTATTTCCAAATGATGCAAGTCATGAGTGCAGTAGTCACTGCAAGAGTAATGAATGTAACAAAATTTGCTTCCTAGGAATGTTTGGTATAATAGTTGACATGGTAGTACAATTAATATATACTATTTTGGCAGTTGTTGCTTAGGACTTGAAATTGCCATGGGAGGCTTGAATTGTGGTGATTCTTTGTTGGTAATAAACAGGGTGGTGAAATAATTTCTCCACACTGCCTTGGCACCACACTTTTGCAAGATTGAATATATGCTCTTGTCAGAGCATCTTGCCTTGACTGAATTATATTTAAATTTCAATTGACATGTTATCAACAGCATCTCATTTCTTTCTATCTCACTTAAAATCGCTATTCAAAGGTATTTTCTTTCCTACCCTATTCTGAAGCATGTTCATACTTTGTTGAAAGTTTTTCATGAAGTCTGCTTGTCAAGAAAGCCAAGAAAGACTGTGATAGGAGCAGTAAGATTTCAACCCTAGTCCACAGTGGTGGCATGAGGAAATACACAACTTTTGTACCCTAGCTCATCCATATGGGAGTACCATATGGCTGTCTTCCTGACAGCCAGAGAGTAGGCACATATGAATCCTTCCTGAAGCTTTTTACTTAGTTTACCCTTCTCCTTTTACTGCCCATCTTGGTTTTATCACTCTGACAACTCCTACCTCGACCTTCCAAATGCTGGGGTTACAGGTTATGCACCAACTAACTCCTGTGCTGTCTTCTTCTACAATTATCAGAAAGAAGGTATTTTGTATTCCAGTTTTATTGCTGACAATCTATGTGACTAGAGCCACTTACTTAATTTCTTTGTTTCTCAATTTTTGCCTCTGTATCAAAGAAACATGATGCAATTAATGAATAGCTTGTTATATGGACTGAGTCTGGGCCATAGTAACATCTCATTAGATGTTGAGTGGTACATCTAAAAAAATAACGTGATCATAATTTCATTGACATATTTTCATTGCTAATGCCTCAGTTTTTAGCAACAGAACATTATCTGTCTGTGTTTGAGTTTTAAGCAATGCCTTCATAGCAATGTGGTATAGGTGATTTAAATATAATGTGAGGAAGGTGGGTGGTCAAAAGGTTGGTGTAAAGATCTTCAAAAAGAGAAATCAGCAAACTTTCTCTTTCTTTTGATTTTTATCATATACAAGAATTTGTTACCCCCAACCTTGAGAGGCTTCATAATTTTCTACCTAGACATGATAAGTTGGAAATGAAGGGCTGTGGTATGTTTTACCCTAAGTAACCAAGAATTCTTATATTATGCTCTGCCCACGAGGTTCCTCCAAAAAATATTTGTAGTGAGGACACTGACAAATCAAGACAAAGTGAAATGTATTATTAGTTAAGGTTTTAGTGCCTCATCCGAGAGTAAAGTGCTGTCACTCTTATCTGGAAAAGGTGATGAGCCCCCTCCCTATGAATGAGATTGGTTTGAATGACCTGGAAACAAAGTGCTCCACCTGGTAGATATGACTCTATTAAGCCTCCACCAAGGTCAGACATCAATATTGCCATGTAGAGGGGAAGATTGGTCTAGATGATGCATGATTGAGAAGAAAAGGATGCAAGAAGGACTTCCCTAATGCCAAGTTCTACCTTGGGTGGATCCATCCATCTGAAGACCTGGGCAAGGCAGAAGGATAGAGTCAAGATGCTCCAGTGAGAAAGAAAGAAGGAATTAAAGTAGAGGCAGAAAAGAGGGAAAAGTGGCTACATCCAGATGCTGATCTAACAAAACTATACCTGGAAAGGGGCACTCACAGAGTTGACCAAATTAATAATAACAAATTATTTCATTGATAAATTAAAATGTGTGAAACAATAGCACATGTTCTTCATGTTAAACTGTTTCCAGCTGTATATATAGACACATCTCAAGAAGGACTGAGTTGTGTGCTAGTGGGAAGTGCTTGGGATGGAGGCTGGCATCTTGGATGTTAGGTTCTGATACACCTCTTAGTTGACTTTCTTTTGTTTCCAGCCATATTTCAGTTCCCCGCACTAATAATACATTTTCTTTCCTCTCATCTAAAGCCTTCAGGGGACAAAAAATGTTCTCGAGGAACAACAGTCACTCTTCAGTCTCCTAAGCAGACTGGTGCTCACTGTGTTTTGGGTTTTGGCTTCAATAGTGTATATAGATATCACCTTACCCTGCCTCCCCACTGTGCCGAAGGTGTCACTGCTCTGTTGGTAGACTCACCACACTTTGTCATTTCTATTTACTTTATACTTGGTACTCTCTTTACCCTTTACCCAGAATGCTTTCTCTAATCATCTTTAAGGTTCTAGTCAGTGGCCCTCCTGTAGAAAACCACCTTATAGTTTCCTGTATGCCTTTCCTGAAGGCTCACAATATCCTGTTAAACTATGTTTCATTGTGGGCTCTGATATTTCAGACTATCACCCCATCAGCATGTGAACTGAAATTCCTAGTAGAGCGTCTTATTTGTGTTTTATTTTTATTTACTTTATTATTCAATATATATCTACTTCAGCATATACATATTAAGTTATCAAGTACATTTGTTGAGCTGTTACTGTATACACAGCTTCAAATTTTTATAGACTTCCTCCTACACACCTTTAGAGGATTTTTCTTTTTAAAGTAGTAATCAAATGTTGAGAAAAACAAACATTTATTACTTTAAAACTTATTTTACTTCCAAGAACCACTGACTTTCAGAACATTAATGCTTTGTTTTGATTAATAGTGCATTCGATTCAAGGAGAATCAAGATGGCTTTACATGTAATTGAGATAAGGGAGTTTTTAAATTTAAGGCATAAAATTTCATAACCCATGCACAAGCTGAAGCAATTGAACTCATGACATGCCTTTTTACTTTATTTCTGGAGGGATTTTGTGGTTGGTGGTGTCCTAACATTTGATGCAGCTCAGGGCGCCTGAATTGATACTTGTGTCTCTCCTCTGAAAGATGTTTTCAGTGGTTTATAGTGTGAGTTCTGTTTTCAAAAACACCAAGTCCAAAAAGATACAAATGCCCCCTTAGAAAACCTTGGGTGGCACTGAATTGCTTGACTGAAGGATGAGATGTGATGTGCTGGGTGTGATTGCTCTGCTTCTCTGGCTAATTCTGCCCTGGAATATTTGCTTAGCGGATGCTGAGGTTTGCAGAGGACAGGAGTTGTGGAGTGCAGTGTCCGGGGCTGCCGGTAACTGAGCTTTCACGTTGGTGCAGGTGGGATTTCCTCCTCAGATTCTAGCTGTTCTCATCAGCTCTTCATGACCTTCACTGAGAAGGAGGGCCGACAAACATGGGCAAAAGAATTCCTGTTTCTAAATAGAAGGCCTAAGTACCAAGGATGAGCTTGCAATCAGAAAGTGTTTTCCCCACCCCTTATGCATGTTTTGCATGTGTGTGTGTGTGTGTGTGTGTGTGTGTGTGCGCGCGCGCGCGTGCATTTGTCTGTGTGTCTGTATTTCTGCCTTTTATCTCCACATTGAAAACAGGTCACGTTAGAATCTGTTAGTGTGATGTATAGTCACCCTAATCACCTCTCTCGTGTCACTTCTGATAGAAACCAGCAGAAAGATGTTTTGGCAAGTGTATTCATAATTTGTCTTCCTTGCAGGGCTCTCTGTCTGCAATTGTGTGTCCCATCAGGGACTCTGTTAACTTATTGACAATCTACTATGATTGATGGCAACCATTGTCTTGTTAACATTTCCTCCACTCTTTAATCCACAGAGCTAAGACAACCTTTGGCTTAAAGAATTAAAATGAAATACCACTTCTTCAAGTAAGAAGACTTCCTTCGAAGGTAGGATCTGCATTCTTGTAGTATTTACATTCTTAAAGGGAATTATACTATAGAATATGTGATTGTGCAGCATTAGTGTTTAGTACTCTTCAACAGGGAGCATGGTAAAAGACACGAAGAAGGACTACAAATGCAGAGACATTTATCATCCTGTTTGACAAAAAGGATGGAGCAAATGCACACAGTAGAAAACTAGCTGTCTATTCATTGTACGGGAGTAATGTTTGTGCTTTACTCAATCATGACTCACTGAGCACAGAAAATGGCACTGTTGATGAAAAAAAATTCCCAAAGGAACTAAAGGTTAAAATTATAGGGCACTATTAATAAAAAAAAAGTCATTTCTATTGGAGCTGATCATATATCAAACACGTGGAAAATGTGGCATCATGTTTTTCTGGTATTTCTGAACAATGAAAAGCTTAAATGTTACTGTGAACTATGTTTTCTGTCTTGTAAATCCTTTCCCACCCCTTGTTTCTCACTCTTGCCATTTCTCAGCCCACTCCATTTGAGTCAAGTAGGATTATTAACTCCAGAACAGACCCTGCTAGGCCTGTGGTGTCTTCTGAAAGGCCCTCTATTGTAGTATTGTACTTGGTGAAAAATATCTTAAATGGAAATCTGGAACATAGTACAGAGAACTAGGTCTCAACCGACAAGAACTGTCTTAATGAATTGTAAGGGCTCATTGTTCAAATGTCTGGTTCTGTACTTCATAGGTTTCATTAAACAAACAAATTCTCATGGATTTTAATTAAGAAGATTGCATACAAGGTTTTGAGGTAGTAAAATCCTTCCGTCATGTTTGTTCATTGTTTTTGACAAAAGTTGATCTACTGAGATGTCATTTTGTAATTGAGAGGAAATGATTCATGCTTGTGACTGAATTTGCTGTTATTGTGCTGTCTAGAGACTGATTTCATATGATGGATTCTTATGATATTCTAAAATACCATCAGAAATCCCCCCCAAATCAGTGGGCCAGAAATGCATATTGCTTTTGATAATAGTAAGCCTTCTGTAGATAGTTTATGTCATGTTTGCCGTGAGAGACAGAAAGACAACAAAGGCAAGCATTTACTTTTAGGTTACAGTTCCTAGTGCTGTGGATTATAACAGAAGGCAAGGTAATCGAAGTGATCCTGATGATCACTTGATGTTATACTTGAGGGAGGCAGTGACAGGACACAGCCTGAAGGCTTTCCCATGAAGTAAGGCATTGTGGGATGGCTCTAAGGGAGTTTTCCTGGCAGGATATGGTACTTTCTCATTGTTGTTATTCAAAAAGATGATTGGTTTAAAATAATCTCTTGTCTTTTAGGGAAGGAAGTGAAAAGGCTGCATTGCACCTTTCTTAGTACATACTTGCTGATCAGTTTGGCTAGCTTTTTAAGTGACTAATGAGAACTTTCATTTGGCAGGCCGTTAGAGCTTCTGAAATATCCCGTTTTGTCTTTGTGAATGGACTCATCTGGCCAAAACTGAACACTGAGAATCTTCCTAATTTTTGTCCCTTGCTTTACAAAGACCCGATGAAACTTCTCAAAATTCTAAAGCATGCTTGTATTCAGAATGTCCCCAGGCTATTCAGCCGTTAGCCTCTGACATTAGACTAAGAAAGTTGTGGGTGTGGTAAGAGCAGGCAGTAGAATTCTAAGTACAGCAACTTAGTTTTCAGTCGAATTTCCCACAATTGGTAGTGCGTTGTGGTGTCTGAAAGATGTGAGATGCCAGGACTTTGGACTGTTTGAGAAGCCAACATCAGTTCTAGATCCTTCTCTGAGAAGTGATACTTGTCTCTTCCTGTACTATGTTGGATATGATAAACAGCATTTATCATTTATCATAATGTGTAAGAGTTCTCATGGAAAGTCTACATTCCTGTCTTATTTGAAAGCTACAAATACATTTCTTCCATTTGAAATTTCTTTAATGTGCCAACGTGAGGAGTAGAGGCATTCCAGCAATCACACCCTTGAGTTGGTTTCCACCATGGTTATGTTACCACATCTCAAGAACCCATGCATCTTGAAGCGTGTTCACACTTGGCAGATTGTGAAAAAGCAAAAAGTTCTAGCAGTCCAACAGGCTTTTGGAACTGCTTGATTGTTAATGACTTGAATGTTGTGGGATCTGGTTGTTCATTTATCTTAGGAGAATAGTAATCATATTCTCAATAGGTAATAGAACTGACAGGAAGACAGTTTTTATATTTTTTTATAAATTTATAAATTTATAAATATATAATTTATTTATAAATTTTATGATTTTATAATTCAGTTGACTTATAAATACAAACAAGTATTTTGTTGGAAAACCTAAACAGGAACGTAAGTTTAATGCTATCCAACAATAAAGGGATCTTTCTAGAGAGTTTATTCCAAGAGACACAACGTGTTTAAAGAGAGAACATATGCACCAGCCCCGTCCATTACTGATGATAGAAAGCTCATGAATAATTCTAGGATTACCCCTGGAATCCTAGAATTTATACAAAAAAAAAAAAAGATAAGGGTATATATCTCTTTATTAATTTATTTCAATTGTATTTATTGATATTTAGTCATGGAGAAAATCAGAACACCCCCCTGCTTAGTTGCTAACTCTAATTCTCTCTTTACCCAGAGGCATCAAGAGGGCAAGATCCAGATTTCAACTAGGTGACAGCATCTCCTAGACATTGTCACATGTACGGACCCTCTATGGTGGTCACAGTGAGCTTTTCCTAGAAGAGTTACTAACCCACAGGCAGTATTCCTTGAAAGACAAATGCACACACACACACACACACACACACACACACACACACACACGCACGCACGCACGCACGCACGCACGCACGCATGCACACACACCACAATGCATGTGCTTATGTATTCATATATATGTGCATATATGTATATATAAAACATATATACATGTACATATATTTTATTATTTCTTTGAGAACTTCATATGCATACAATGTATTTTGATCATAATTACCTTCCACTCTTTCTCCTAACTCTTAGAACAACCCTCACTTCTCCACCCCGTCCTAACTGTGTCCTCTTTTAAAAAGAATAACCTACAGTCTTATCTGTGCTGCCCATATACTTTTGGGATCTAGGGCATCCACTGGAGCATAGTTGACATGTCAGAGGCTATACCCTTAAAGAAACCATGACCACTATTGAGTTCAAGAGGACAACAGTCCTATTATTTTCAGAAGACATAATTTTGCTCTGGTACTCCCTGACTTCTGAGTCTTATAATTTTTCTCCTCTTTGCAATGGTCTCCAATTGTTAGAGGGAAGGAGGTATCACACACACACACACACACACACACACACACACACACACATACACACACACTACAATTGGGATGATAATTCCACTGATACTCATTTTCTACCCTTTAAGTGGCTAATTTCTGAGTTAACCACTGTCCACTATATTGAGAAACTTCTCTGCGTATGGTTTAAGAACTACACTGCTCTATAGATACAGAAATAGGAATTTAGATGGTAGTTTGATACTGTGTCTCTTTAGCAAAATAATAGTAGTAGGCTCACCTTTAGGACCTATAAGCACCATTATTATTATTATTATTATTATTATTATTATTATTATTATTATTATTGTTATTATTGCACCAAATTTACAGTACTGGTGAGGTTACTTTCAGCCTGTGAAATAGCCCTCAAATATAATCAGAAAGCTATTGGTTACTCCTATAACATTTATGCTACTATTAGTCTAGTGCCCATATGTTGACACATAGGTTGTTACTTTAGCTCATAGAGTTCTAGGCTGGATAAGAATGATAGTTTTTCTCCATAGCAGCCTACTTGAGATGTTCTAGTACTATGGAGGAAGTACTAGGGGAGGAAGTTCTTGCTCAGTCCAATTGACTTTTCATGTCCTGTGACCAAAGGGTTTACAGTCTTCAGCAATAGGATTAACTATCAAGTTCTAGAGGGACAATCAAGCAATGTCAACAGTTTGTGTATCTTTGGAGGGTATCTGGAATAATCATGACCAATAGCTACAGGGGAGGTATCTTACACCTGCCACTGGGCTTTCTAGTTGGTAACCTATGACTTCTAGAAGGAGCTTTATCCCAATTAAGCTTTCAAAAAGTTTTGACTTATTTATTTTATATGTATGAGTGTTTTCTTTGCACATACATGCATGTCTGGTGACCATGGATGTCAGAAGGTCCCCTGGAATTGAAATTACTGATAGTTGTGAATATCCAGGTCCTCTGCAAGAACAAGTGCACTTATCCCTTGTGCCATCATTCTAGCCTCATCCAATTAAACTCTTTTATTAAATGGTAGTTTCCATGTAGCTTTTTACAAGTGTCCTCAGTGTTGTTATTCACTTCCCAAATCCCTCCTTGCCCTATCCTACCATCTCTCTCCACTTAAACCTTCCTACCTACCCATTATTCCCTTTGTTGATTTATGTGTGAAGTTTAAGCAATGCCATATGACTTGAAGTTATATGTAACTATATTAAATTTCATGCACAGTGTTTCTATTTGGAGTGGAGGCTAAATTCTGATTTTTTTTTTTTTTTTTTTTTTGAGACAGGGTTTCTTTGTGTAACCTTGGCTGTCCTGGAATTTACTCCATAGACCAGGCTGGCCTTAAACTTTCCTGCCTCTGCCTCCCTAGTGCTGAAATTAAAGGTGTGTGCCACACCCATCCACCACTGGGTGGAGGTTGAACTTTTATATATTTCCTGAGACTTATCTCTGGAGAAAGTGAGATGCCTTTATGTATTGCATGACTTCTGCTCCCCTTCATCCTGTCTTCATGATTCTTGAGAGACTTACCATTTTTCCTGTGGATAGCTTGTGCTACCTCTCTTCCATACTTCTGCCTGATCAGTCTTTTAACCACTTCTGAAAGCTCAGAAAGTAAATTTGGACTATGTATCAAAACAAAACAAAACAAAACAAAACAACATTTGCCTTGCAAGCTACCTGGATGTGGGTTGAAGAAATGGTG